CCTCTAGGCTAAAGGTACAAACCTCATTACACCCCGGACACCACCCCGACACATGACACCTTCTCTCGCGCGCAGTCTCGAAGCGTCAGCTGCGTTCAGGCGTGTAATCCCTACACCCTGCACACTGCAAAACTGAAAGGCTGTGTTGGAAGGAAGCAGAGGGTTTTAATAATCAAAACAGGGTCTTGTGGGGGGTTGCGGGTGTATAGAGTCCGGGATTTAGGACTGAGCTTAGGGCGGATTAAGCATTCAAGGTCGAGAGCATTGGGGTTGAGGCCAATGGGGGTACCTACTGGTTGCCTACTGGCCCTCATGTGACCCGAATGCGGACCCTTTGCTTGTTTGCACAGTATGAGCTACAGAAGCGAAAGAGTTCGAATAGTTTTGGGATGTCTTGGGGAATATATAGCATACGAAATGCATTAAAACTGACGAAACGAGCGTAACAACAATCAAGTGGGTTCTATCCGTTGCTAGGCTTCGGGCCGACAGTGGTGCGGACCAGCCGTCGATGACCATAGTAAACTTGGCCTGCATGCACGAACAAGTGCGGCAATCATTGAAAAGGCCATGGCAAGGGGCAGCCGGGCCTGCATCACATTTCTGGAACGTAACAGAAGGTTCGACTTTCGTTGCTCCCTTGGCACGGATGCGCACGAAACGCTTGCTTGAGAGTAGCAGATTGCAATAAGACAATAGACTAAGCCATTTCTAGCTCAAGTTAGGACGCCTCAACCGCGCACCCTTAGCCAACCGCATGTATTCCCCGGGCTCTCCCAAGACAACAGGCATCCTGCGCGCCAAGGGTTAAGCTCCGAGTTTACGCTAGGGATCAGGGCTTGCATAGCTGACCTCTGGCTTCGAATGTCTTGACAACTTGAACAGTTGTACTGTTATACACTAACTATAATGAATAACCCTCAAACACGTAGTTATGCTATCTCTGTCTTCAGCGGACTGCACACTGAGTTTAACCGTAAGGGACCCCATCCTCAATCCTCGACCTCCCCTGTAGCAGTCGGACTTGCCTTGTACCTTCGCATAGCAACCGCAACATCGCCGAAAACACAGCCTCAGAACCCATCGAATCCCATAGACCCTCCAAGATCTTGATAATCGGAGCTAGGGTTGTGGTATGCTACACCACAAGCATGATAGGGACTCTACACGGGATGCTAATACTACTTGTTCAGGTCCCTGCGTGAGACACTACAAAGCTTAAACCATTAGTGTAGGGGCCTTAATAATTAGAATAGGGTCTTGGGGTTTATGATACTGTACTGGTAATAAGGAACCTCCAAATAGTATAGGACATTATTAAGGCCCCTATATATCAACCCCGAATCCCCACACCGACCTTGGATTCCTGAGTTCGATGCCATAGCTAGCGTTTTGGAAGAGCTTATGGTTCAGGATTTAGGGTGTAGGGCTTAGGGCTTAGGGTTTAGCTTTCAGGATTTAGGGTTTAGGGCTTAGAAGGGCTTAGAATCGCAAACCTGAGGAATCACAGGGCTAAGCACGAGGACGGGCCTCCTCAATGAGCTCTTCGTCGATGACATACCTGTAGCACATCCAAGGGCTTCGGGACTTCAGGTTCCGGATTGACGGTTTTCGAAGATTTTGAACCAAGTTGATCGCGTGCGCTAAAGCGTTCAGGGCTCCGAAGTATAAGCCCGTTAAGTTAACATGAAAGCGCACTTCGTCTTGCTGTGAGAACACAGACCAAGCTCGATAAACCCACCAAATCTACAGCCTGGGGGCGAAACCCCACCCAAGGCAAGCTGCCGGGGATCGGCTACGGACTTCTAACAGCTATGGTTTTCATTGAGGTCAGCGGGCCGAGCCTCTCTCTTTCTTTCTCTCTCGCATGTGTATATGTATATGTGTGTGCATTATATATATATATATGTACATGTATATGTATATGTATATGTATAAATAAGCAAACAAATAAACATATATATATATATATATCAATAGTCACTTCGTAATCAACCTTTCTATCTATCGTTGCAGCATCAAAAGCCCCTGAATGAAGCGCCTTCCTAGGTTTCCAGTCCTTGCAAGACACCAGTGCGGTATGGGTGGTCCTCTGGATTGGGGTCTCTTTTGGGGTCCCCCAAAATCGTCGGGCACCCTAACAAACAGGACCCTAAAAGGGACCCCAATTTAGAGAACTACCTATACTTCTATGTAGTGCAACATACAGCCCCCAAACTTCGACGAGTCTAGGTGGAGCCCGCTTGACTGCACGTCTGAGCCTACTTCAAGGTTGCCGGGCTAGTATAAAGGATATTCAGCGAAAAATAATTTGGATAATAAGAGTGGCCCAGAATAATGAAAATCAACGATCATACTAATGATATCAATCGTAGACTTCTTGGATCTGATGAGGGGCAGGTCTTGTATCTAAGCGAACTTTCCCTATCATGCCGTACATTGTGCAGACCTACTTGCAACAACCACACATGAGTTCCTGCTGAACCTAAACTGCCCCACATGGGGTTCACAGTGGCTGAGGCTGGAGATTTCTTCCCTTGAGCATCTCTCTGCAACGCTGTCCCGAGAGGCCTCTACAAAAGAGTGCAGAATATACCTAGTTTACACATTATCCTCCGTCCTTTCTATGGTTTAGGATCAAGGGTGCCGCGCGACTGCGGAAACGCAAAGCCCACATGCAAATACGACAGACGACTTTCTGTTCTAAGATCTCTCTATACCTCCATCTAAATGTTGGAAGAGGCCCTGAAACCTCCAGCATCCAATCCTCTGGGTCTAAGAAGTTCTGAAAGACTGAATCGTAGGATCATGAAAACCACCAGCCATCCTAACGTATACAAACCCTGCTAACTCATACATACATACATACATACCTACCTACCTACCTATGTATGTATGTATGTATGTATGTATGTATGTATGACTGTATCCTCATCCCAATCTCCGGCCCTCACCGACAGTCCAGGGCTCTGGCTTCGTGGCGCCCGACTCTGGGCCACGGGTCAGGGTCCACTCCAGCACGGCCCGACCTTATCGGGCTCTAGCTTTGGGAGAAAGCTAGGGTTCAGCGTGGAGGGTACAGTGAACTAAGAGCAAGCCTAAGAGTAAAAGCAAGAGTAAGAACGGACCTAAGAATAAGAGTAAGAGTAGTAAGCCGCGCAGAGGTTTTGCAGTTTCGTATGCCATTTCCGATTGGATTGTCATCTCTTCTTGTCGACAGCCGCCGGAAATCCGACTTCGGGATTTTCGGATTAGGTTTTCGGGTTTAGGTCGCTTGCTCTCACACTCGGACTCATCAGATGCGGTTCACGGCTGGCAGTCAGGGAAAGAAGGTGGCAGATGCACAGCACGATAAAAGAAACAACGACAAAATATAAAATTCATGTCAGGCGAAGTCACGAAACCCTCAGCGTGTCCCCGGAGGACTCAGAAATTGCTGATGCTCCCTACAACTTGACCAGCTCCAAAAAACCCTGGCCCCAGCCTTAACATCCCTCACTCCCTAAATATCCAAGAACCCGGGAAAGGTGCGCAGGTGATGTGTTGGCCTGAATGATTAGAATATGAATCTGGGGTATATTGTGCTATAACCAAAATAAGGAACCCCTAAAATAGTATTGGTAATGATTTAGGCCCGTTTCTTCTTCCAACAGGCTGAGGGGCGTGCATTACGCTAGCCATGCAAACGCTAAGTGAAACTCTGTGTTTCCTCCCACATCGAAGGGTGGGTTTAGGGGTTTTATAGAGCATATGAGGTCGGATGGTGCGGACTTCCACTCGCACAACTTGGCATCGAGATTTGAGAGTAATTAAAGCTCAGGGGTCGCGGCAAGCAGCTTCAGCAAAGGTTGAGAACGTTGCGACTCTAGGATCTATAGTAGGGCTGTCGGGCCCTCTTCGGAGTTTGCGGCATGATTCTTGGGCTTCTACATAGGGCGCTACACCGGGAGCCGCGCGCACTGCCATCTTCTACAGGACTTGTACCGCAGCTTCCGGACTCTATCGGCTCTTGATTTTTCAAGTTGTGAAAATAGTCCCACATGAGATCCTCTCAGCACCACTGTAGATTGGCTACATAGGCACACAAGCAACCTGCCTAGTTGCACGAATCCTGCCAGGCGACTTCCGGCGAGCCCTAACCCTGAAGTATTAACCCAAAACCCTGAAACCCCAATCTTGAAACCCAAAGCTCTGAATCAAAAGCCCTAAAGCCCTAAAGCCCAAAGCCCTGAAACCCTGAACCTTCATCTGACACTGGACAGGGACAAGCAACCATCGAGTCTCGGCAGGTTGGCGTACTCTGCCGGAACCTGCAAAGCCGTCGGAAACTTTTTTGGCATTAGTGGTACCTTATTTAGGGCTTCGTTATGGCTCCACTATCGTTCCTATTTGTGGTTTATAGTATAGGATCCTATAACATGGTTGTTGTAGATGTAGTTGTCGAACAAGCTTTGGTTCTAGCAGTTTGGCAGCACAAAGCGCGCTAAGACCGGCTAAACTGTCATTTTATACCCCTTCTACGAAAAGTACTAGTCACTAGTACGGCTGTTCTCACTGCTGCTGTCGCCAACTGCTGCGATGTATTCGGTAGGATGCGATGATGAGGTGCAAGGCCTTCACACAGCGGATGCTGTCTCTTTAACCCATGATGATGCGAACCTTCAGCTGCGCAGATCGCAATGAGGTGGCGCAGGTAATCTGTACGACCACTTCCTAGGGTCCCAAGAAGCCACATATGCGGCATCTCAAGGCCCTTAGTTCTCACCGCTCTCACAGCTACAGGTCAGAACGTGCCTGCTCGCCACAATTTGATTGATGGCTGCAGATCGCATCAAATTATGCAAAATACACACACACACAAAACCGCCTTACTGATGGCAAGCACCGGCTTTAGGCCTCATTTGCCACCTGAAGACAAAGGCCCGCGAGCTGCACTAACACACGGGTACCCCGCCGAATTCGGTATTCTCATGATTTCCCTTGCAAACGGCACAGCCACTTCATAAAGCCTGGCGCGAGGATTCTTGCTCGTTCTGAGCTTCCTTCGCTCTTTCCACATCCTCACCCATCGCATTCTCAATGCTATCATCACTGTCGGACTTGCTCCCCTTCGGTGGCTCAGGCTCCTGCAGCAAAAAAATCTAACGTGGAAGACAGGACGGTCTCTGTGGGTTGATCACATTGGTAGTATTGGTGCAGTCAATGTCGTTGGAATTGCTTCTTCGTAAATGCGGTAGCAACGTGTCTTCACAAGTGGAATCACAAGTTCACACTGCCCGGGTGAGCAAACCAAGATGAGAACAATTTTTGAAGTTTGCCAGGCTTGCTTGAGTTTCATGAACATGCAAACGTCGGGTGATGTTTAAGACTACAGTTTACTCGTGAACGTCTTGCTCCAGCAGTAGTCGTCATCGTCGTCGAAGTTTATGGCAGTCGAACGACTAGTGGCCGCGGTGGGCGCAGCAGCTATAGTTAGTAGTCGTCGTCGTCCTAAGTCCGAACTAAAAGGCATCGTTGTGGCAGAACCTTCGCAGTAGTATACCCAACAGCTGTAGCAGTAGCAGTAGTAGCAGTA